AAAGTAGTGATTAATTAATGTGATAAGTCACTTACTATTCGCAATCGTGCACATCATTGACTGTATAGCGATGAGGAGACAGCTCGCCAATAGCCAAACAAATTGGTTTTAACTTTGTTTTTACCAGAAAGAGGATCAAAGTGTCGTTCACGGAAATTCCTCGAAAATCTCACACCATTTTCACCAGTTTTCACCGTGCAATCAGAGAAAAGTTACACGAGGACCAAAATTTGACGCAGTGAAGTCGTGTTCTGAACACACAGGATTAAAACATGTAGGACTAAAGGGAGAGAGAACGCCTACCCGCAAATAAAGTCGTTCCCTAACGAGTCAAAACTTAGTGAGTTCACTATAATGGTCTTAATATTCTATTCTGTCGTCTTACCAATTGTGTTCTCTGAATCCAATGCTCGTTTAACAAAATCAACCTTGACAGTGTCAGTGACGCTAAGCTTAATATCCCGGATGTCAAGTTGCATCTTCAGCATTCTGAAGTCGATCAGAAGCTGTGTTCTGTACATTTCTTCGTTGAGCTCTTCAAGTTCTTGGTCGCTAAATCGAACTCGAAACCTCATCACACGTTTTCGGAGTTGTTCCACTTTACTCTCCAGGTCTTCCTTCGTCTCCCAAAGCAGAAATCTTGATCCGCAGCTTTCTAGTCTTGTCCGTTCTGCCTCTTCTCCCTTACCTATCTCTACCTTGAGTTGTTGAAGGAAAGTCATAAAGCTGATCTGGTTCTCAAATACGTTGACTTGTTCATCGGTGAGATTTCTAAGGTCCAGCGACCTGACGATTTTTAACTGATCATCAGGGAACCTGTCAATCTTCTGTACCTCCAATTTGAGCCTGGCCACTTCTTTGTCACGTCTTCCTTTGCCGAGTAAAATCTTCTCTTTTATTCGTTCGAAGTCTGCGAGGATCTTCTTAATGATGTTGCCGTACCTTAAACTGGTGCGAATGGGAACCCTGCATTTTGGGCAGAGCTTGAGTTGGACGTCAACAGGCTTCCCGTCATGCGTTGTTTCCGCCTGGTCCATCCATTGATCCATCATTTCAACCTCAAACACATGACCGCAGTCTGCCAGCTCCACGAATCTTGCGTTCGGCTCATCTTCGGTTCCGAAAAATATCTCCGTTACCTCGTCTTTATGACACTCTCGGCATTTCTTCGGACATATTTCCCCACAGAGACCAATACAGGGATGCCCGCACGGAAGTTGTTTTGTACATGGTTCGTCACATCGTCGACGATTGCACAGCTCCCCGCATAATTTCGTGCATTTATGATGCCGGCACTGCCAGATGCATTTCTCGTTGCAAGGATCACAAGGTTCACCACATTTCTTTGTGCACTTGCTGTGCTTGCAGTAGTTGCCGCATTTGTCCTTGCATGGAGGACAGTTTTTGGTGCACGGCTCACTGCAACTGTGACCACAGAAGAGAGTGCGGCCACACTTAGCCTTGCATGGCTCATGGACTCGACCATGGAGACAACGAGAGCAGTCACCTATAATGTAAACCAATCAATCAAACAATCATTTTTAATTTCTTAATTTACATTTTACAGTTGGACTGGCCCGCGGATAGCTAGTGCTAGTCCAGGCGGCCCAGTCTACCAAGATATAGTTACAAGTGTTTTTTATTAATCAATAAAAAAAATGGAAAGTTAGGAAAAAGTGAATAAAATAAAAAATAAAATGGTGGGCGAGGAATTAGGAACTACTTAGTAAAAACATATGGCTTTTACCCTAAACGTTAAAACGCAAACGAGTCAGTCAATTTAGTTCCAAGAACAATTACTATCTTGTTTCTCCTGTAACATAGATACAGTATAACTATACTTTATTGTATTGCGGTAACAATAAACATAACATTATACCTCAGGGGATCAAATACAAGAATTTTAAAACGTTTAAAGCAATTTACTGAATTTTTAAGAAAGTTGCGCTCTCATTTATTCATCTTTGGAACTTTTGTCTGAAAACATAAGTCCCAGTTTGAAGTGTTAACGATGAAGTTCAAATTGACGATGAAGGGGCTCACTATTCGAAACAACTGGTCAGGACTGTTACTGAATATTCTGCTCGGTCATTTTTATCAATGAACGAAATCCTAAGATTTCCATTTGAGAACCGTTAACAGTGTTTTCGCCCCCGTAGGTTACAAGACACTTTCATAACTTACCAGCACAAGGGTGTTCACACTTTAAGGTCACACCACAAGGTGCCTCGCAAGGACTGTGTAGTGGATTCACATGACATTTCGTCTCGTTTTCATGTCCACAAGGCCAGGATTTCTTTGTTTTGGCGGTGCACTCTACACTGCACTCTTCAGAGCACAGATTCGTACACTGATGGCCACACCGGGGTAGAATCTTTGAGCAGGGTGACAGGCATTTCACTTCAGAAGGATTCTTGTAGCAAGGGACTTTTTGAGCATGGCCACAGAGAGGAAGGATCTTTGTCACGAGCTCCATGCAAGGCCCACACTCCTGGTA